AAGGGAGCTGGTGTTTGTCCGCAGACAGTTTCCGGGCCATGTGGCCAGCAGGACTAAGCCGCTTCTGGCGAAACCAGAGCAGCACACGGAAATGCCGTTTACCTTACTGCCAGGGTGGTACCTATTTATCTACTTGCACTTTGACGTGCTTTCGAACTGCTAGGTTGGCAGGAGCTGGGACCGAACAACGGGAGCTCACCCCGTCACAGGGATTCAAACCACCGACCTTCCAATCGGCAAGCCCAAGGTTCAGTGGTTTAGACCACAGCACCAACCGCATCCCTTGCTGCTTATCTAGTCATGTCCCAGTGTCCTGGGTAAATTGGCTGAAGTGGCTTGCTGAACACAGCCGTCTTGTGATGTTAAAGGTACTTGATTTGAAATTGGGGCTAGCAGGCAAGATACTCACCCGCTCTCTGTGCACTTGGGTCAGGAAATCCACAACTTGCTCCTCCGAGGAGCATCCTGCGCTCGAAATGGTACAGCGAGCCTTACACCAAAGGATCCTACAGTTACGTGGCTGTTGACAGCTCCGGAGATGACATAGATGCCCTTGCTCAGCCCCTTCATGAAGGCACATCTGATTCCAAGGTAACCCATCCTGGATTTCTGGCTGTATAGGAGCTTGTCTCTCAGCACCTGTTGACATGTCCACAAGCCACAACACACACTCTGCGTTTGTTTGTTTGTTTGTTTGTTTGTTTGTTTGTATTTATATACCACTCTATCAAAACATCCACAAGCCACAACACACACCCTGCGTCTGTTTGTTTTTTATTGAATTTATATACCGCCTTATCAGAACGTCCACAAGCCCCAACGCACACCCTGTGTTTGTTTGTTTGTTGAATTTATCTACCGCCCTATACCCAGGGGGGTCTCAGGGTGGTTCACAGAATAAAATCAAGACATAAAACCACAAAATACATAATAAAAGCAACAACCCAATTGCCCCCTGGCCAAAAACACACACACCACATTTTAAAAGGGCATAGGATGTCAATCAGATAACCAAAGGAACATTTTTGCCTGGTGCCTAAAGGTGTATAATGAAGGCGCCAGGCAGACTTCCCTCGGGAGAGCATTCCACAGGCAAGGAGCCACTGCAGAGAAGGCCCTGTTCTCGTGTTGCCACCCTCTGGACTTCTCCAGGAGGAGGCACATGAAGGACGTTGCGTTAACAGAGACATTGTTTGATTTTCCATGCCTCTCGGCTTTTTTGCCTCCCACTAACGGGTTTTCACCCAAACAGGGCTAAACTAATACTGCTATTTCTTGTTGCAGCCGCCACAGGTTCTGTTTGCGGGAGAAGCTACACATCGCACGTTCTATTCGACTACTCATGGTGCCTTGTTGTCAGGCTGGAGAGAAGCGGATCGTCTCCTTGACATCTACGATATGTCCGAATCGCCACATGCTGCATTGTAAGCCGGAAGCTGAGATAGCAGTGGTTTCTTTTCCTGCTCCCAAGTAATCATTAAAAATGGTATGTCAGTATAACTACCGCCCCAGGCACCCAGTTTTTTTAATCGAGATAAAAACGCCTTGGGGGAATAATTTTTCTCGAGTTGATCACTGGAATCACAGTTGCAAAACGACATAGTTTCCACTGTGTGTAACAAATAACATCCAGTGTTAATGATTAGCCAGCTCCGTTTTCTGGTCCTGGAATATAATTTCTTACCCTTGAAAGCACTGAGCTGAATCTTTGCATTTGTTTTCTCATACTGAGGCAGTGTAGTACTTCGTTAAATTTTGTCGGTGATCACACGAAAACATCAAAGAGCCACTCATCTCATGCCACTCTCAAAACAGGTGCTTAAACAAATCTTACCACATTTCCAGTGTGCTATGTATTTTGGTATATTGGGAGCAGGGCATCCCTGTAGGGCATGGGTAGACAAACTAAGGCCCGGGGGCCAGATCTGGCCCAAAGGCCTTCTCAGTCTGGCCCGCGGACGGTCCGGGAATCAGCATGTTTTCACACGAGTAGAATGTGTCCTTTTATTTAAAATGCATCTCTGAGTTATTTGTGGGGCCTGCCTGGTGTTTTTACATGCGTAGAATGTGTGCTTTTATTTAAAATGCATCTCTGGGTCATCTGTGGGGCATAGGAATTTGTTAATTCCTCCCCCCCAATAAATATAGTCCGGCCTCCCACAAGGTCTGAGGGAAAGTGGACTGGCCTCCTGCTGAAAAAGTTTGCTGACCCCTGATGTAGGGACCTGGGAACCATGCATCTTTAGGAGAGCAAGACACTGTGTTCAATAGTAAGGTAAACGTAAAGGGACCCCTGACCATTAGGTCCAGTTGTGACTGACTCTGGGGTTGCGGCGCTCATCTCGCTTTATTGGCCGAGGGAGCCGGCGTACAGCTTCCAGCTCATGTGGCCAGCATGACTAAGCCGCTTCTGGCAAACCAGAGCAGCGCACGGAAACGCCGTTTACCTTCCCACCAGAGCGGTACCTGTTTATCTACTTGCACTTGACATGCTTTTGAACTGCTAGGTGGGCAGGAGCAGGGACTGAGCAACGGGAGCTCACCCTGCCGCGGGGATTCGAACCGCCGACCTTCTGATCGGCAAGTCCTAGGCTCTGTGGTTTAACACACAGCGCCACCTGCGCCCCTACTGTGTTCAATAGTCCTTGGCAAATTGCAGGGGAAGGAACAGTATTTTGACAAGTGATGCTTGGGTCCCACGAATATAGAAGGCAAAGGGCGTGGAAGGAGAAAAAGATTCCTTGTCTTTTGCTTCCCACTGTGTTAAACCTGCAGTTGATAGAAAATGCAGAGAAGAAGACAAGCTCTGGGGAAGTATTTGTTGTTATGAGGGAACAAGTTCGGAAGATTAAGGATGGGAGAAATCTTGCGTTTTTGAGCAAATGTGGATCGAATTAGAGCTAATGGTTTAGCATGAAATTAAATTGTTAGAAGCTACAAGCAAACAAAAGGTAGTCTCACACTGACGTTTTGATGGTGCTTGAAAAGTTCCTTAGCAGGTTTTATTTTTAATTAAACATGAACAAGGGACGCGGGTGGCGCTGTGGGTAAAAGCCTCAGCACCTAGGGCTTGCCGATCGAAAGGTTGGTGGTTCGAATCCCCGCGGCAGGGTGCGCTCCCATCTTTCGGTCCCAGCGCCTGCCAACCTAGCAGTTCGAAAGCACTCCCGGGTGCAAGTAGATAAATAGGGACCGCTTACTAGCGGGAAGGTAAACGGCGTTTCCGTGTGCGGCTCTGGCTCGCCAGAGCAGCGATGTCACACTGGCCACGTGACCCGGAAGTGTCTCCGGACAGCGCTGGCCCCCGGCCTCTTGAGTGAGATGGGCGCACAACCCTAGAGTCTGTCAAGACTGGCCCGTACGGGCAGGGGTACCTTTACCTTTAAATATGAACAAGATTGTGTGCTCTACAAGTTAACTTTTGGAAGAGGCTGGTACCCAGCATGATGAGATTTAATAACCAACAACTTCAACTCATTGTTGATCCTCCTCAGTGGCAGTGAAGGCGACAAAGACATTCTTTGCTGCCTCCATTGCATCCTCAACGTGAGTCCAACAGAGTTTTCCAGGGAGCACAGGGACTTTTATGGTTGTACCTAAAGGAGGTGGTAGAACTCACAATGGCTTGCTGAGCATGCATTCTGCAGATGTAGGTCAATGCAGGGTTTGATGGCGGTCAGACACAGTCTCAGATCATTACTGACTCATCACCTGCTACTGTGCTTTGTCTTCATAGCAATAATTGCTGAAAAATCCTTATTGCAAAGATGTGTGCCATCAAATGGCAGCAGCACAGATACTGCTTCACCAATAGGCTCAGGATACTCAATGATAACTGAGTAATTTTGGTCACATGAAGCCAAAATTCCTCCAAATATTAATATTTGAAGGTCCTATCTATCACGTGTCAATTCAATGAGTTGCATCTGTACAAATACAGCTTTGTGACATCAGAGCGATGTCACTCAAACTTCTCCTTTTTTCCAGCAGGAAAGTAATGGGGAAATTTTGACTAAGCAAATTTCAAATCACCTTCGGCTTAACTATTAACTAAGCCTGGTGGCAGATTTGGTGACAGTTCATTACGAGGTCCTCGTACATGGAGTTGTTTTGATTGACTACTATAGCTTGCCTCTGATATGTACAGTAGTTGCTGCTTTTGGTACCTGCACATCAGAAGTGGGCAGTTGTAGTCAAAACAACTTTTCCAGGATCTGCTGTCTGCCGTCAGAAAGAGTTTCCCAAGACTTGAGCCTTTCCGACACTCAGTTACTGGTGTCAATAAAACAACAAGTTTGAAAAGGTATTTGTCATACCGGTTAAGGATTAAAGCAGTACAGTAGTACCTCGGTTTACGAACTTAATCCGTTCCGGAAGTCCGTTCTTAAACCAAAACCATTCTTAAACAGAGGCGTGCTTTCCCTAATGAGGCCTCCTGCCGTTGGTGCCCTTCCACTGTTCGGATTCCGTTCTTAGACTGAGGTAAAGTTCTCAAACCAAGACACTATTTCCGGTTTTGCAGAGTTTGTAAACCAAATCGTTCTTAAACCGGACTGTTCTTAAACCGAGGTAGCTCTGTAATGATTTTGGGTCGGCTTATAAAGCCTGCGACCCACTTGTATGCGCTTTGTGACCCACAGGAAACACTAACCTAGAGGATAAATTGTGCTCCTCACTGTTCACCCATAAAATCAAAGTTACAGCATTGCACTTCCCATCGTTAAAGCGCTGTGATATAGTTCATATTCCTCTTGCCATGGTTGGTCTGTTGAAAGTACGCTACAGTAGTGAGGAAGAGGGTTAAGACCCACCTCTAGTGGGGTTTACCAGGATGAGAGAGAGACTGACATTGGCATTGGACAGACATAATGGCACTCACAGATAAAGCACTTGCCCATGTGTTGTGTACATGCTCCATCAAACATCAGCACACTTAGCGTATGGGGCAGCTACCTCTACCTTCATTCAAGCATCTTATGCAAGACCAAGCAGGTTACCTGTGACTTCTGTTGCTTTTGTTTTGCCCCTAACAGAGCGGTTCTTGGGATTACAGCACAGAATTAGCCGGGCTAGAATCAGGATGTTGCCCAAAGCTTAACAGCAGTTTACACAGGAAGCGGAGGGAACATTATTAGAATTGCACCAGGTGGCCACAAGGCAGCTCAAAAGGACAACCGAGTTTCCCACAGAAAGAATGTCCAAAAGATTTCTTTCCCCACCCCAGACCTTTAATCACAGATCTTGCAGGCGCTTTCCCTCAAGGTGGGTGCCGCTGCCCTGTTGAGAGGGTGAGCCGAGGCCTGTCAGTTGTGCCGGCTCGAGTTGGCAGAAGGCAGAGAGAGCTGCTAGTACCAGTTGGTGCAGGAGATGAGATAGCGGACGTCATCCAGCAGGTCTAGGAGCCAGCCTGTGCGCTGGCTGGGCCCCCTTTCTCGCTCTCCACTGGGGGAAGGTGGTGGCAGTGGTGCCGGGATGTGAACGGCATGTTCTTCGACGGACACCTTTGCAACCTCCACAGCTGGAATCTCCACAGCTGGAATCTCCACAGCTGGAACCTCCACATCTGGAACCTCTGCAGCTGCAACGTCCGCAGCTGCCTCTTCCTGGGGGTCCCCCGACGGTGCCTCTTCACTTTCACTGCTCATTCTGAGGTTGGGGACAGAAAGAAACCTTGGGGTTAACATTTTATCACATGTGGTGGGAATGTAAAAAGGTGAGAAGCTTCTGGGAGATTATATATAATGAGATGAAAAAAATGTTGAAATATACATTTATAAAGAAACCAGAAGCATTTTTACTGGGCATTGTAGGGAGTGATATAAACAGAAAGGAATGTAAGCTCTTTTTATATGCAACAACGGCAGCAAGAATATTATTGGCCCAAAAATGGAAACAGGAAGAATTACCGATGAAAAGCACACGGAACGCCGTTTACCTTCCCGCTAGTAAGCAGTCCCTATTTATCTACTTGCACCCGGGGGTGCTTTCGAATTGCTAGGTTGGCAGGCGCTGGGACCGCCGCGGGGATTCAAATTTAAACAACCTTAAATCAATGACTTCTTCTCTTTCCGTGGTTCATTTTGCATACCATACATCCCTGCATATTGTACATGAACTAAACCATTTGGCGATCCATTGTTACGTCCATCAAAATTCTTTTATACTGTTGAATTTATCTTAATGCTACCAGTGTTTTTAAATAAACACAATTTTCACCCATATAATCAGTGAACATTTTCCAGTCTTTTTTAAACGTATATTCTTCTTGTTCTTCTTGTTCTCTTATTCTATAAGTTAAATCTGCAAGCTGTGCGTATTCCATCAATTTAAGTTGCCATTCTTCTTTGGTTGGCTCGCTCGTTTTCCATTTTGGGGCTAACAAAACACGGGCTGCAGTAGCAGCATAAATAAATAATCTTTTTTGGCACCTGGGAATTTCCCTCTGAATTATATCCCCAACAAAAAGGACTCTGTTTTTTTGGAAAGTTAACTTTTAAACATTTTTTTCATTTCATTATATATCATTTCCCAATACTCTCTTACCCTTCTATAAGTCCACCAGCGTTCAAAATTAGCCAGGCACGTTTTACGACTGGGAATTGTCAGGAGGCGAGCACTTTGAGGAATCTTGTCACCCTGTAGGGTGACTGAGACTCAATAATAAAATTACCGCCAATGGCGCCGAGGGCACAGGAGGAGAAATGTCACCCAGCCAGACTCCAGAATAGGTTCGCTGACTCTCCCCCGCCACTGTGCAAGTCACCTTTGTATAAAGTGGCGCTTAGACTTTCTGTTTTTACTCCTGTAACTTTGGTTCCAGCAGCGAGGTGACAAATAGCTTAATTTCTATCCTGGTTTTCTAACACTGCCTGCATCCATCTTTATACTGAGACCCCCCGGGGTATTCAATAAATAATAATAATGTACTTAGGAATGGAAGCTAAGAGTTTTTAACTCATTTAAGTGCCAACATGCCAGCATGAGTTAGGATAATAACACTAAGGTACTCTTAAAGGTTGTCATTCAGTACTCTCTCATCTACAGTCTCATTACGCGAGACAGCAATGGCTGTGCTGCAACAGGTGCCCTAAACCACCCAACCTCATTTCTAACCCGAAATATACAGTGGACAACACTGCAGACCCGTCGTTCTGCAAACATATGGACTGCACTTGCGTTTTCATTGACGGGGCAATGTTGTATACAGTGGTACCTCGGGTTAAGTACTTAATTTGTTCCGGAGGTCCGTTCTTAACCTGAAACTGTTCTTAACCTGAAGCACCACTTTAGCTAATGGGGCCTCCTGCTGCCGCCGCGCCGCCGGAGCACGATTTCTGTTCTCATCCTGAAGCAAAGTTCTTAACCTGAAGCACTATTTCTGGGTTAGCGGAGTCTGTAACCTGAAGTGTATGTAACCTGGAGCATATGTAACCCGAGGTACCACTGTAAATGCTAAAACAATCTTGCACACAATATTAAGGCTGGGCTGAGGAAGTTGACGAAAAACTTCAACTTTTTATTTGGGTTGAGGGGTGTGGGTCCCTTATTCTGAATAGGATTCCTCGCAAGAAAAGGGAAAAGTTGACAGCTATGGGGTGGGTGGGTGGGGTGTAAAAGCCCACATACGTATATGGTAAAATCCTGGTTTTCCTTTCTGCTCCCCCAGTGTTTCCTACGGCCAGCAGTCATTCCATTAAACAGAGCAAAAAAAACAAACCACCACCTAATGTCAACAGAAATAACAACACCACAAAATAAAATACTGATCAGCCTACTCCGTGCAATTCTAGGGCTCAGCAAGGACCACGAGGTCTGTATCCCCACCCTCAAAAACTACACGGTATTTTCCAACCAAACTACGCAGAAAGGTGCGTTCACACGTTTGCGTGAAACACGTGTACGACCCTTGCGGGTCAGAACACTTAAGCCTTGCTCCCCTACCTGCCTCAGCGACGGGCCCCGCTCTTCGTTCTGCGCATGCGGCCTGGGGTGCCTTACGGGAGCCTTATGGGAGCGCCGGCGGGCATCCGTTCCCGACCGCTGACGTCACAGAGGCCCGCCCCTCTCTCGGATTGGTGGGGCGGGGCCTTTGTTCCGTTGCCGTAGAAACAAAACCGGGCCTCTCTACCGGAAATGCGTATAGCCGCCTGACAGGCAGTTGCCGAGAGAGGCCGAAAGAGGCAGGCATGCGGCTCACGTCTCTCTTGCGGACGCAGCTCCGAGGCTGGCGGGAGCGGTTCGACTGCGGCGGCCGGGATGTGGCCCACTGGTTCCCCGGGCACATGGCGAGAGGCACGTTGGGCCGGTGACCACTCGGGTGGGGAGCGGGGGCAAAAATAGCGCGCAGGATGGACTTCCGGTAGGAACCAGGGCCGTGGCCTCTCTAGGCGAGGCGTCTCTGTGGTGTGGCCTCTCTAGGCCGAGGCGTCTCTGTGTGTGGCCTCTCTAGGCCGAGGCGTCTCTGTGGTGTGGCCTCTCTAGGCCGAGGCGTCTCTGTGGTGTGGCCTCTCTAGGCCGAGGCGTCTCTGTGGTGTGGCCTCTCTAGGCGAGGCGTCTCTGTGGCGTGGCCTCTCTAGGCCGAGGCGTCTCTGTGGCGTGGCTCAAAGCCCTTCTGAGCCAGGAGGGCTTGTTTGCTTGAATATTTGTTTTGTTGTTTAGTCGTGTCCGACTCTTCGTGACCCGCCTGGACCAGAGCACGCCAGGCACTCCTGTCTTCCACTGCCTCCTGCAGTTTGGTCAAACTCATGCTGGTAGCTTCAAGAACACTGTCCAACCATCTCGTCCTCTGGTCGTCCCTTCTCCTTGTGCCTCCATCTTTCCCAACATCAGGGTCTTTTCCAGGGAGTCTTCTCTTCTCATGAGGTGGCCAAAGTAATTGGAGCCTCAGCTTCAGGATCTGTCCTTCCAGTGAGCACTCAGGGCTGATTTCCTTCAGAATGGAAAGGTTTGAATCTTCTTGCAGTCCATGGGACTCTCAAGAGTCTCCTCCAGCACCATAATTCAAAAGCATCAATTCTTCGGTGATCAGCCTTCTTTATGGTCCAGCTCTCACTTCCATACATCACTACTGGGAAAACCATAGCTTTAACTACAGTGGTATCTCAGGTAAGTACTTAATTCGGACCTTTGTTGGCCTTTCTTAACCTGAAACTGTTCTTAACCTGAAGCACCATTTTTAGCTAATTGGGCGCCTGCTGCCACCAGCTGCCGGAGCACGATTTCTGTTCTCATCCTGAAAGCAAAGTTCTTAACCTGAAGCACTATTTTTGGGTTAGCAGAGTCTGTAACCTGAAGCGTATGTAACCCGAGGTACCACTAGTGGTATACTGAACCTAATTCAAAAGCATCAATTCCTTCGGCGATCAGCCTTCTTTATGGTCCAGCACTCACTTCCATACAATCACTACTGGGAAAACCATAGCTTTAACTATACGGACCTTTGTTGGCAAGGTGATGTCTCTGCTTTTTAAGATGCTGTCTAGGTTTGTCATTGCTTTCCTCCCAAGAAGCAGGCGTCTTTTAATTTCACGGCTGCTGTCACCATCTGCAGTGATCATGGAGCCCAAGAAAGTAAAATCTCTCACTGCCTCCATTTCTTCCCGTTCTATTTGCCAGGAGGTGATGGGACCAGTGGCCATGATCGTTTTTTTTTATGTTGAGCTTCAAACCATATTTTACGCTCTCCTCTTTCACCCTCATTAAAAGGTTCTTTAATTCCTCCTCACTTTCTGCCATCAAGGTTGTGTCATCTGCATAGCTGAGGTTGTTGATATTTCTTCTGGCCATCTTAATTCCGGGTAGGGATTCATCCAGCCCAGCCTTTCACACGATGAATTCTGCATATAAGTTAAATAAGCAGGGAGACATTTGTTTATTTGGTTAAAAAAACAAAACCCTCTTTTCCTGCTATAAAGGCTCTTAGGCCGGCTTACATGAAATCAGAACAAGACACTCCCTGACTGCAGGCTTAAAATCTAAAATCACATGCACACGTGCACAGCACACAAGGGAAAAAGGGAGGAGGAGGGAAGAGGAAAATCAAAACCCACTGACAGCTGTACCTTCGTGGACCAACTGGCAAGGTTCAGGAGCAGGAGGTGCCTGGTGGAGCTGGGCCCTCCAGAAAAGTTGATGGAGTGAGCCTCCTGCTTATTGTCTCTCCCAGTTTTGTTTTTGACTCCCAGGGAGTCTGGTGGAACAGTTGCCCCCAGGGTGATAGCCGAAGGAGAGAGGAGGTGGCCTGGCCTGTAGCAACAGAGCTGATGGGGTGAGCTCTGCTCTCCTGCTGCTGGAATTGTACTTGTGCCTGCACATCTTCTTGCCTTCGAATTTTTATTAATTTTGAAGAAATTGGATATAAGCATAACATTATCCAAACTGTTGGCTTCACCCCTCTCCTAGAGCTATATGCATAGTTGGTGGGCGTCAGTCATCAGAGTATTCATTTGGATACGTCTTATATTAGCAAAATCGGCCATATCAGTTGTATCGTTCAGGGGGTGTGACATAGCTGTCAACTTTCAGATTTGAAAATAAGGGATCAGCAGCCTCAAAAATAAGGGATCAGCAGCCTCATCTGTCCCAGGGACAGTCTACGGGATATCTAACAATCCGGGATAGCAGTGGGAAACGGTGCTGGAATAAGGGAATTTCCTGCAAAAAATGGGAAGGTTGACAGCTATGGGGTGTGATCTCTTAGCTTCTCAGATAAAGCAATTGTCCATTATATGATATGTAGATGATCAAGTTTTCCCCATTTTTTAACTTGCTGTGAGCAGTTGTGCCGTTACCAAAAGAAAAATGATAAGTTCCTTGTGCAGTAATTTAATATGAATATCTTTTTAAATTGTTAAGAAACCTTGGAATGGGTTGCATTGTACACCTGACTTGTAATTTTGCATATTTCTGCGAATACCCTTTGCCAAAACAGTTGCACTAGTTCACATGTCCACTGCATATGAAAAATCATGCCTATTACCTTCCACCCTCTCCAGCATGCTGCAGAGGATGTTTTGTCTATATAGCTGAGTATTACGGGTGTTAAATTCTATCTATGTATTAGCTTAAAAGAATTTACTCAAATACTGGTTGATATTGATTTTAGTGGGGGGTTTGTCCATAGACTATTCCAATCTGCCTCTTCAAATTTGATACCAAAGTCCTTTTCCCGATTTTGTTTAATACTTTGGTTTTTTTGTAGGGCTGAAGGATATGCAGAAACGCCTTCGAGTGGTCGACTGTTTACTGGAGGTTCACGATGCCCGCATATCCTTTTGTGGAGATCAGCATGCGCACAAGCTACACCCTTTAAAACACATCCTTTCCCTTAGAAAGAATTCCTGGGCACTTCAGTTTTACTCCCTCACAGAGTTAAGAATCTTCATGCAGCTTCACTGTCTGCTGGTTTGTTTCCATTTATATTATTATTATTATTATTATTATTATTATTATTTATTATTTCTACCCCGCCCAACTGGCTGGGTTTCCCCAGCCACTCTGGGCAGCTTTCAACAGAACATCAAAAACAGAATAAAACTTCAAACATTAAAAACTTTCCTAAACAGGGCTGCCTTCAGATGTCTTCTAAAAGCCAGATAGTGGTTTATTTCCTTGATATCTGATGGGAGGGCGTTCCAGTTGGCTGGTTGCCATTGTTGTTGTTCCACCCCCGCTGCCACCATTTTCCCTGAGAACAACTTATGATGACTTACAGCTAAACATAAGAAAAGCTAAGAATGTAGGAAAATAATAATAAAAAAGCAAAGAATTATAGAATTAAAGCTATAGGTAGGTAGATGGATAGATACATTAATAGACTTTTAGATATAAGATCTATTAAAACCATACAAGTATGTAATTACAGTAAAAACAGCACTGCAGCAGCCTTTTCATTAAAAGCAGTCAGTTGCCAAAAGTCTGTTGGAACAAGAAAGTCTTCATCTATTAAAATTAATGGAATATGCAAAAATGGCGAAACTCACCAGAAGAATAAGAAATCAAGAAGAAGAGAGACTTTTAAAAACAGAACGGGGGGAAATTATTGATTAATTGAGGACATATTGTAAACAATATGATTGATATAAACATGGGCAGTAAGAGATAACTAAGGAAAGGAAAAGGGGGAAATGTATAAATGTATTTGAATTGTATATGAAGTAATAAAAGGATATGAAATCAGTAACTGCAGAAGGGAGGGGAAGGAAGGTAAGTTAGATTTTTAAAGATTTTTGTTTTTCTATATGTACACTAGGCTGCTGCTGCTGCTTTTCTCGTCTCTTTTTGGCTCCTTAGCACATGCACATCCCACTCTCAGGCCGGAACCCTCAGTTGCAGGAAGCCTTAGGTATCCGCCCACACTTATTATTGTTGAACAAAATGGATCTGGCAGACCTAACCCACAAACAGGTAAGACCCAAGTAGGTTCTTTCTATATTTGTCACTTTGACAAGCCCACAAACAAATTGACAGGCTGAGAAACAGCAGCATGAGTTTTCCAACTGGGGATCTTGAAACTTATTTTTTAACGTAAATTGTCTTGGGATTCCTTCTGAATCATGAGGCAAGACAGAAATAAAATTCGTATTTTCTCTGGCCCTTCCTGCTGTCTCATGCTGACTGAAGTTCAGCAGGTGAGGACTGGACAAAAGGCTTTCTCCATCAGAGTGCCCAGTCTATGAAATCACCTTCCCAGGCAATTGCAGTTGCATTGAGAGAAGACTTAAAACTGATTTATTCCATTGGACATTTTCTAGCTAAAGGTACATTTCAAAGTTCTTTTTTGACATGGGTTCTCCCCCTTTCTTTTTCTGTCTCTGCTGTATTGTTTTATACTGTTCCTTCACTGGATTTTTAATTGTTCTGTTCTTTTGAGCTAATTCAAGTTGTCAGCTGCCTTGTATCTACGTTGTGAATAAAGCCGAGATACACGATCTTTATAAATAAACAGTATAAATAACTCTCATCTTCTTCACGCTCCCTGATTTCATAAATCTCTTCTTTATATGTTTATAGAGGATTCTAGAATGTTTGGAACAGCAAGGTTTTAGGAACGTCCTCTTCACGGA